TCTGTGCGCAGACATACAAATAATCCTACACTGAGAAGTAGAAAATGCAATTTGCCAATAGTAGGTCCAGGATGATTTCCATTCTTGTAAAAAAAAATATAAGATGTATGTGACATATATTTGTATATGATTTGAACATATTTGGAAGACTATTTGCCCATCTGTTAGCAATGGCTACTTATGGGAAATAGGTTGGTGGGGGAGAGGCTTGAACTTTTTGTCTCACGGAATTCTGTCCTCTTTGTTTTTTTTTTTTCACTTAACATTTTTTTTTTAAATGTGTGGAAAAAAAATAAAAAATATTGGTTAGCTCTTGGCTGTGCAGATCAACAAACCCAGACTAGAAGAAACTAAATGCCCTCCAAGACATCCCCTCTTCCCATCAAACTCCCTCCTGTGCCTCTGTGTACATCTCTCCATGAAGCAGCACACCCCAAACTCACTGAGAATATTCCTTAATGCCTTCTGTCAACATGTATTTGTTGTGCATTTACTATGTGCACCGTGGATTCATGAGAGAAGAAAACAGCTTCTTGCCTCTGTGGAGCTTCAGCCTGGTGACACAGTCCCTTTTCTGGCCTCTCTACGTGTTCTTTAAGGCTCAGCTCAGGGAGTCTCCCTTTCCTTCTTCCTCTTCTGCATCTTATAACGTTTAATCTACAGGAGACTTTTGAAGATTCAAACCACCTTGACCACAGGGTCTAAAGGAAAGGCAACTGGATGGGTTCCAATTGTATCTGCCTGGCCTTCATTTGGTGGTTTGCATTTTTTGAGTGAACTGGGTACAGATGGGGGAAGCTGGTACCTCCTGGACCTTTTTTTTTTTTTTTTTTTTTTTTTGGTACTAGGGATTGAACTCAGGGGCACTTGACCACTGAGTCACATCCTCAGCCCCTTTCAAATATTTTATTTAGAGACAGGGTCTCACTGAATTGTGTAGGGCCTTGTTAAGTTGCTGAGGCTGGCTTTGAACTCACAATCTTCCTGCCTCAGCCCCCCACCCACACCCCAAGCTGCTGGGATTACAGGCATGCGTCACCATGCCCAGCTCCCGTGCCTTCTTGAAGCGTAGAAAGGTGACAGGAAATGCTGATGATGTGAACAACCACTCATATAGCATAATGAACACTATAGAGAAGTACAGAATTCATAAGGCTAAGTACTAAAAAAAAAAAAATAGATGCTGAGCTTAGGGTGAGGTTTGCAAAGGCTTTGAAGGGAAGTCTGAGTTTAGCTGGGATTTGAAGGATGAAATAGAGTGGTTCAGGGGACACAGCTCCAGGTGGGAAAATCCAAGGTGCACGGCAGGATGATTCCGGAGAGTCTGAGGAGCAGAGTGAACTGAGCAGGCTGGAGAGGTAGGTGAGGCTCAGATACTGCATGGTTCTGTGTAACCTGTTTCAGTCTGTTTTCTCACTGCTGTAACCAAAAGCTCTAACCAAAACAATTTTAGGGGAGGAATGTTTTATTGGGGGGCTCGCGATTTCAGAGGTCTCTCTGTCCATAGACTGCAGGCTCCATTCCTCGGGGCTGGAGGGGAGGCAGGACATCATGGAGGAAGAGTGTGGTGGAGGGAAGCAGCTCACCTGGTGATCAGGAAGCAGAGAGAGAGAGACCCCAAAGCCACGCCCCCAATGCCCCCTCCTCCAGCCACACCCACCTGCCTCCATCAGGGATGAATTCACTGATTAGGTTAAGGCTAGAACCCAATCATTTCTCCTCCAAAACCTTTTTGCATTGTTTCACGAGTGATCTTTTGGGGGACACCTCACATCCAAACCATAACAGCAAGCGTCAGGTCCTGTATGGTTTCGTACACCACCTTAAGGAGTTTGGGCTTCATTCTAAGAGAAGATTGGGGGTTATAGAATGCTTTTAATTAGTGACAAGATAACACTTGCTTTTTAGAAGGGTCCTCCTGACTGATGAGTCAGGTAACAGAGGGCCTGGTGTTTCTAGTTCAGTACTCGACCAGAGTGTACACAACTATGCACAGATTGAGTATTAGCAGAGCAAAAGCTTTTCCATCCGGCCACGGGTTCCCTTGACCTCTTCTCCATCCATCTGGCCATTTTCTCCTCTGGCCTCTTCTCCATCACCCAGTTCAAATAGCGTTAGAATTTTTCTCTTTCCAGAAAAGGGGTGGGGGAGACCTAAACATACACTTCACAAAAGAGGCTACCCAGATAACTAATCCATCGGTTTAAAAAGGCAAATCAACTTTATATTCATGATCAGTGAACTAAAATCATAAACCACCACACTGACCAGAATGGTGAACAGGGAAGACGGACAATACCTCAATGTCGCTGAGAATGGGGAACGGCAGGGACGTTGACAAGGGAACAAATTCTGTTCACCTTCTGTGGAAAACTGGCAGTGTTTTCTAAAGGTGAACATACCTTTTGCTCTATGGCCTGGCAATTGCACCCAAAGAGCTATACAAGGGCATTTATCGCAGCAACTCAAAATGGAAAATGGCACCTTAATATAGATACATCAGTTATGGTATGTTTATGTATCAGGATGGGAAGCAGCAACAAAAAAAAGCAATGAACCACAACTACAAAAGGTAGGACCGAAGATGCTAGATGTGAATGAATATATATATATATATATATATATATATATATATATATATATATATATATATATTTGTGACTGTAATTTCATCAAGATCTAAAGTAGGGAAGTTAATTGGTGCTATTAGAAATCTGGGTGGTGGTTCCCTTGGGGAGTCCAGAGAAAGCAGAGGTTGGGGTGGTGCAGGGGCAAGGGGTTTGCCAGGGACTGTCTGGTATGTTCTTTTTCTCAGCTTGGTCACTGTTCCACAAACACGTTCACTTTATGATGAATTCACTGAGCTGTATGCTGAGGACTTGTGGACTCTTTTTCATGCATATTTTAATAACAGATTAAAAAGGGAAAACAGAGAAAGCTCAAGATATCAAAGAAATAAAGAAGAAGCTCAAGATGCCAAAGCCATCTTCTTTGTGTTTGTGGCAGGACTGGGCTGGGGTTGTGGCTCAGCAGTAGAGCAATTGCCTAGCCTGTGTGAGGTCCTGGGTTCCATCCTCAGCATCAAATAAATAAATAAAATAAAGGTATTGTGTCCAAATGCAATTTAAAAATAAATACATACACACACACACACACACACACACACACACACATATATATATATATATATTTTTAAAGAATAACCTCAGGGTTAAACTTGGTCAGTGCTTTCTTTCTGTTTTCTTCTGATATCATTTCTTTCCCTTGGTCCTTCTACCATATCACTACACTAGGAGATGCTCTTTGACAGGATCTTCAGGTGCCAGATGATGGCGAATTTTCCTTTTGAATGAATCTGTTTTATTTGTTTGTTTATTTATTTATTCATCCATCCATTCATTCATTCATTCTGAGGATTGAACCCAGGGGCATTTAATCACTGGGTCACATCCCTAGCTCCTTTTTATTTTTTATTTTGAGACAGGGTCTCCCTAAGTTGCTCTGAGCCTTGCTAAGTTGCTGAGGCTGGCTTCAAACTTTCGATCCTCCTGCCTCAGCCTCCAGTGTCACTGGGATTATGGGTGTAAATCACCATGCCTGGATTCTTGTRTTTTTTAAAACTTTGATCTTAGAGACATCTTCTTTTCTGACTTGGTACTCTTTATGCCCTTTGGTTAGGTATCTAACCTGCTGGTTTACTTCCTCTCAGGGATCCTGAGCCTTTTCTTCTCTCTTCCAACACGTATGTACTGGGCAGATGCTCCCTCTTTACTTTGCACATTTTTGAATTGTTTGCAATTGTTGCAAGAAATATGCTTTGGTTTCAAAACTCAAAATATCGTAAAATATATATTTTTTAAAAATCCTGGGTTTGCTAGTGCAACTTAACTATGTGCCAGCCATTAGGCGTCAAAATTTTCTCACACSTGAACGATATATCCCCACTATTTGTGTTACCAGTTTTATGCTGGTATCTCTGGATTCATGCTTCTCATGGATTTGTGTAACCATTGAGCAAGCTGGCTTAATCTTTTTACCTTAATTTCCTCATCTATAATGAGGATAATGCCAATCCTCTCCTCTTATGATTGTCAGGAGATTTAAGTGAGATAATACATGTAGAATGCCTGGCATAGATTAGTTGCTCAATAAATAGGGCAGAATTGCTGCTGATTTGCACCTGCAGACCAAGTAGTGTGAAATGTGCTCACTGGAGGGCTATTCTGCAGAGAACAACCAGTGACCATTTCACCTGTTCCTCTCAGAAAAGCAGTCATTTCCCTGAAACCTCAGCCCTCAGGAGAGGTCAGCCTGATTTAGGGACATAAAAATAAAGCCAACAGGGCTACATGTGTTTGATTTCTTTCAAACATAGGTGATTATATGGCTCAGAGGGGCTGGGGAGTTAGAAGAGTACTCCATATCTTAGAGAAGCTAGTGAGATGCTTTAACAAATATATAAGAATCATATATAATTGGCACACACTTTGTTTGAATGCAAACACTGCTGTTGAAGTGGTGCTTAAAAACAGTTTGTTGGCCTTCTCTTCGTACAGGAGAAACATTTCTCTCGTTTACACTACTCACTTGCTTAGCAAACCCTTATTTATCCTATAATGCAAGCGTAATCTGCCCAACATGTCCAAATGCCCACAGATCCTGAATTAGTGGAGTCTGAATTAATGGAATTCGAAGCAGTCTCTCGTGGAGAAATGACAAGCATCTGAAAAACAACCCACTCCAAGAATGTTAAGCACACTCCAGAAAAATCACCTCTTCTGGGCTGGGGCTGTAGCTCAGTGGTAGGGCGCTTGCTTCACATGAGTGAGGCACTGGGTTCGATTCTCAGCACCACATTAAAAAAAAAAGCACATAAAAAGATATTGTGTCATTTACAACTAAAAAAGAAAAAGAAAAATCACCTCTTCCCTCCCCTTTCCTTTCTCTTCCTGCTTGTTGTCTGGCTTTCAAAGGAGACAGAGGAAGACAGACGCCAGTGGATATTCTCAGGACATTTGAATGGTTATTTATTGAGAAGCCACAGTTTCCCACACTTTCATAACTGTAGGCTTTATATAAGGCAAAAGCAAGATGGATCCACTACTTTACACAGGAAGAGAGCGCTCTGCAGCTGACCTCAGGGTCGTGCAGTTACAGATCAAAACGCAATGTACATGACAGATATAAAAAACAGTGTGGAACAAAATAATTTAAATTATGATTACAGTCTACAGAGGGAAATATCCACATCTTATTATAAACACATTTATAGTCTAGGGTTGTCATTTAAATATTCAGGTGGGGTGTTTTGTTTTTTTTTTTTACATACACAGTTATTGAAACATAAAAGCAAAATGTTAACATTTAGGATGATAAACTTTATGACAGAAGACAGTTACTCTGAACTGTGCTCCATGCTAAGTCATGATGGGATTGCCCCCTTGCCGTGGCAATTAAGAGAATTAATCTGCCAGTATGTAGCCTTTTATGGCTAACTATATTGATAGAATATAGATGAAAGGATAGGCCAACAAGGATGCTAGGATTCCATTTTTTTAAATATATTTTTTTTTTAGTTTTAGGGGAACAGAAAGAACCAAAAGTTGGCTATTGGGGCCTGGCCTTTGGTATTTWAAAAAAAAAAAGCAGATCTATGTGCTTAAATTATTTATGTACTCATTTAAATAACCAGCATCCACAAACATGAATCAAAGAAAAAAGTCTCCGGCATCCTCGCCTTCACATCCATTTATCTTCAATATCTACACAGTTTGTGAATGAAGCATCATTTCACTTGGCTGGTAACAGAGACCCGTCTAGCAGTTGGACTATGTATTCTCCATGAACAGTATTTAAAGAATGGTGCGCCATATTGCTTGTAAACATATAGACATGGAAATAAGGAAACCAATGGATTGGAAGGTCATTTGCTAATCTTGGTACCACATAGCTAAAATGGCAATTGTATTGGTAAACATCTCATGGGCATGGTAGTTGACAGAAAATTCCCTAATGGAGTTAACTAACAGACTAAGGACATGCATTGATTACAGGACAGTCCCAGTGGACTCGAAGGACCAAATGGTCTAATCATCTTCTTCATCTTCCTCGTCGCTGTCTTTCATACTGATCCCCTGCAGGCCCCCACCCTCGCTCACTGAGGCCGTGGCTTCTTCTACAGTGAGCCGGTTCCGGATGGTCTCGTAGGTCTTGCTGTTCAAGGTGGAATCCAGGACCCCTTGCAATCGGAAATCTCTATAGGTTTTCTAAGGAGGGAAAAGATGAAATGATAAGGGAGATACCGTCTCCAAGGTGGGTAGGGAGAGGATGCAAAGCAGGTGTGACCTTCTGCTAAATGTCACTCTTTATGCATTGCCAGATAAAAAGCCACCGTGCTCAGATTTCACTTGTACTGAAAACTGAGATTCATTAAATGACAGAAAATGAGAAACTGTGACAGGATAAACTGTATTAGATGAGACAAAGCAAAGAACATAAGCTTGTGTTTATTCAATTCCATAAAGGGAAATGTTCCATGATTGTTTTGGTTCTTTTTTTTGTGGGGGGAGGGAGGGGGTCTGGTTCTTTCTCTTAGGTTCGAATAAAATAATATGATCGACAGTGTTAAGGGGCTATAATGTATAAATAATGGATCCAGTGATTATGGTATTTTATTATTTCAGTTACAGTCTGGTCTTTGGAATTTTTGAGTCTTTTAATTGCATGAGCCATATCCCTCTGTCTCATTCACAAGATAGACATATGTATATTGGTATATGAAACCTATTACGGGCAGCAACAATTATGGGCAAGATGGAGCGCTAATGCCTCATCAATATGGTGCAAGCATGTGACTCATTTCTCATCTCCTTGGGAAAGAACTGTATTGATTCCGTTCACAACTTTATGCTCTCAGGGAAGAAATTTGGCTCTTTTTCAAGAACAATGGTTTGGGATTACTGTACCACAAGTTCTTTCTTTGTTCCTTCAGGCAATTTCTTTCGGATTTCCTTAGGTATCCTAAGGACTGTTTTGCTAGAAATCCCTTAGTGTTAATTGAACATGACCAGAAGCATCTGGCTGTTGTCTACTTCATAATTTTTTTTTTTAAAAAAGGTCTCTGTGTAACTACAATTCTGCTCATCACACTGCATATCATTTTAGCTACTGATTCTGCTGTTTGCTTCTCCTATTGATATAGGAAATTTGCTAAAGGGGCCAGAGAAGGAGTCTTAACCTGTTTCAGTATCACTCTTGCCATTATTTCTTTTTCTTTTTTTTTTTAGTATGGGGATTGAACTCAGGAGCACTCAACCACTGAGCCCCATCCCCAGCCCTTTTTTTGTATTTTATTTAGAGACAAGGTCTCACTGAGTTGCCTAGCACCTTGCTTTTGCTGAGGCTGGCTTTGAACTTGCAATCCTCCTGCCTCAATCTCCCAAGCCGGTGGGATTACAGGCCTGCTTCACTGTGCCAGACCATTATTTCTATTTTCAATAGTAATCCAATGCAATCACAGTGTTAACAATTGCAAGGCCAACCTCCTCTGAAGGTCATACATTATGATGATGTAGAGTCAATGACTGCTTGGCTTAGAGAAGCCCCATAATGTAAGATTACGTGCAAGATGGCTATGTTCCCTCTTTGCTATTTTATGCCCAATGCTCCAGCAGGATTACCCATAGAGCCTTCCTTCCCTCTTAATATGAACTGAATGTATAAGGTCGACCCAAATCATGGATCAAGCTGCAGGTTTTCTGAAGAGCAGGAAGAAGAAGCCAGGTCGGTGCCTGAGTGGTGTCTCTGCCTTGAGCGCAAGAAGCGGGAGTCTGAGTCCTGGTGTAGGCGGAAAATGAGTGGATCAACTGGAATTTTTGAACTTTTCAATCAGATGTTCTATGGCCACTTAGAATACCATAATTGTTGCCGGAACAGGAGAGAAAAAATAAAGCTAAAACAGCTCTAGCATTTCTCCCCTTTATACAAATTCCAGAGCAGTGCGCTCCCCGACCGGACTCCGAGTGCCTAAGGGTAGAGGCCGTGTCTAGTCACTTTTGAATCCTCCATCTGGTGATACACGGGGAGGGTTTTGCCTCATCGTTACCCAGTGTTGGATGAATGAATACATGCTTGCTGAATAATGAATGAATGGATGAATAAACGGGGTGTCTGTTGAGACAAGAAAGAAAGCCAAATATYCTTGGAAATTTGCCCTGGAGAAGGAGACCTCTGGGTCACGGACTTGGCACAGAGGTGGAAATTCTGTTTCCTACCCCTGTGTCACGGCCTTCATTCAGCTGGGCCCGGTTTTGGTGAAAGTGAAGGGACTCCCGTGGCATGACCTTTCCGTGTTGTCCCTCTTGTGGTTCGTGTGTGCTCTCATGCATGTATGTGCGCCCGAGTGTGTTTGGCAGATGGTGAACATTAAGGCTTCTCTCTGACATAKCATTTCTTAATTAAATGGGGTGAATTCTCAACAGAGATCTGGAAATACCAGTGATGGGGAGATCATTTTTAAGGTATTCTAAATTATGTCTTCTTTTCAGGTCAAACAGAAAATCTGACCCCAACTCTGCCCAGGCGTATTCATACTCAGAAAATGGAATTCAAGAGGCTAGTGAGTTTGCCTTAAAGAAGCAAAGAAAAGAAAAAAATTAAAAAAGGGAAAAAGACAGGTTCGTAGTTCAAGTGCATACATTTCTTTTTAAAGAGCTACAGTACTCTTGCTGCCTGTAACCTTTCCTGGGCAGACGCTCTGTGAGATCAAATGCAGATGATGATAACGCTCCTTAATTACACACAACCAAACAGTAATTGGTTGTAAGTCAGCACTGGGGTCCAGGAATACCTTCAGGGGAGGTAGTTGCTAATCCAAATGGACCAGGAAATGGGGTGGGGGTGAGTGCCGGGAAGACTTTTGGCACACTGTTAAAAAAMCCCCAGAAATTCAGCTACCTTGAGGGTTCAAGTATTTTAAAAGAGACGTTGTGCTTTGAATAGGAGTTTTGCATACGAATGTTTTAAAAACCTCCACGGGTGAAGCATCAAATGGAAACTGAAATGATCAAAAACGTATTTACCCCCTTCTGTGATCTTATTATTTCATGTAAACCACTGAGATTTCACGCTGAAATAATTATCATTAGTTCAAGGCACACACACAAGAACAGGGAAAAAAAGCTACTTTGAGGGTATGTTATCTCACCTTTGTGATCCTTTACATTTGATTGTATACACGCCTTGGAAGAGACACTACTTCAATTAACTATGAGAACAATATTGATTTGCATTCTGATAATGATCACAGGACATCTTTAGAAATAGCTGGAGGTAAATATTTCCATTAAATTAATTGTGGCAAAATTTTATTTAATTAAACCATAAGTGAAATTCGTAATTTATGTGATTAGCATCAACGGCACTTAAAGCCAGCTTTTAAAATATAAAGCAAGGGAGGTGGCCTCTGTTGTATTTTTAAATGGCAAATACATAAAAGTATTTTTCTATCTGGATAAAGATATCAAATTCCTTTTTATTAAAGTCTAAATAAAAATTAACCAGGCATCACAAAGTGATTTCATTGGTTTTCCTTATGGGAGGTAACTGTTTTAGAAATCATCTTGTATGCGTTTTATATGTATGTAGATATTCTTTGTGTTAAGGAAGTTCTGCAGCTTGGGAATGAAATGTATTTCAGTAAGCTATTTGCAAAAGAGAATAATTATTTTTTTTCTTTTACCTTTACCATCCTAATTAGTGTTTTCAACTGATATATGTGAAGCTGTAGGTCCATCCGGTCTGTCAACCAGGTGCAGATGACGTTCATAGAGCTGTTGTACCATTGCTGAAAAAGAGACAGAAGTTCTCCAGCCAACGCATCGTGGAGCGTTGACGGGGCAGACAGGGAACAGACCACGTTTGAGCACCCTGCTCTGTTCCAGGAGGAAACAAAGTGGTTAAAGAGAGTTTGCAAGCACAGAGATCATGAACATTAATTCACATAAAGCCGCAAGGTGCTGGATGGGTCTAAATGAGAGCGGTGTGGACTCTGAAGCTAAGGTAGAACTCCGCTACTCTAGACATTCCATACATAGTCCACCTTTTGCTCTTCTGATTCTCTTTGGAATTGGTTTACTTTACTCAGCGTTGATTCAAAGCATTCCTGATTTCCTAATGCTATTGTCTCGGATGTCCAGAGAGATGGGGGCTTCTCCACTGAACTATTTAATGTGCATTGCAACTTACCTTTGGAAAGCCCCGGACCTCTGTCTGTGAAGTACAATTCTGGGAATCAGGCTGAGAGCCTTATGAACTGGGGGAGACGTTTACCTCCGTTTACCCAATTGGAGTGTTTCTGATAAAGACAATGAATGATTATTTCTCTTTAAGGGCCAAACTCTACTCTGGGCAGCCCATGTGCCCTTATATTGGCTGTGCAATCTGTTTTAATATTAACACCAAAAAATTATGGAAGAAGAAGGGGAAAAAAACCCATTTACAAATGAGCTCATTTCAAGCTGTTGAAATCATACTTCCCCTTAAGGGGGTTAAATTTTGCTTCTTGTCTGTGAAAAATGCTTGAAGCTGTGTCACTTTAGACTGCCACCCCTGTGGTGCAGGAAGTCTCTGGTGCAGTATAATTTTGCAGTACTGCTCATATATTCATAAATCTCACTCGGAGACATATGAACAGTGTTATGAAGTGTCAGTATGAAAAAAAAATCTAATCTTTTAAACTTCACCAGGTTTCATTACGCTCTGCTGCTTATACCAAACAATTTACAAATAAACTGAAAAGGTGTGGATGGACCTATATATTTATTTATAGGGCATCTATATGAAGTGTGCACAGAAAAGAGGCAAAAAAAAAAGAAAAAAGAAAAGAAAAAGAAAAAGAAAGAAAAAAATGGTTAGAGAATTGAGAGGAAGCACACTCTCACGCTAACCAATACACACACACCACACTCACATCACACAGCAGTGGGGACTCAGAAAGCATAAATAAAAACATGTTTCCGATGGTAACTCCACCCTTTCTCACCTAAAGATCATCCAAAATCAGTTTATGCCTAACACTCACAGTTTTTCTGAAGCCTTGTTTCTGACTTAATTTCTTAAAAAAAAAATTAATTTGGGTTTTTACTTGCAAGGTAGAACTGCCAAGTTTCACCTTGCAAGAAACGACACAGTCTCAGCCATGGCATCCAGAAGCCCTCTTTGCAATCTCTCTCCTAGCTAGGCTCCTTGCTCATCAGAGCCAATTGTGGCTCTCTTTGGAGCCCAGCCTCCACAGAGACCACACTACCCCAATCGAGGCAGCACTGAAGCCTCACAGCCAACTCCTGCTCTTTTAAAGATCATGGAGGCGAAACTGTCAGTTTTAGGAACCTTCTGTCCTTCCCCAGGGAGCAGGCGGGTGGGGGATTTTTTTTTTTTTTTTTTTTTGGTGTGCATGTGTGTGTGTGACATGTACAGTTCACCCCATGGAGAGGGGAGAGATGGCTAGGGTCAATTTTCTTCAGGCATGGACAGGTTTTCCCCTCTAGGGGTGAGAATATTTTACTGAAACTTTTTTTTTTTTTTGGTGGTAGTTGGTGGTGGGGGAGTGTTTTTGGCACCTCCTGCCTTGGGATTCTGGAGCATTTGCTTCTATGGCATCTGGGTTTGTTAAGAAGGGGTCTGGAGACAGGGCTGTCATGGGTCACGGGTGTTTGTGCAGTCTAACCTTACTCTAGGCAACTGGGGACTGTCCTGGGCTCACCCCAGGCCTCAAATTTCATCTTTGTTTGCTGAATCTGATGATTTTGAGAGTCAAGAAAAACAAAAAACAAAACAAAACAAAACAAAACTCTGCCTTTGACCTTGGCTTCCTGGGGTTGGAAGATGACCTTCAAAACAACCTTGGTGACTTCCTGGCCAAACTACAAGCCCAGAGCTTCATGATGGATACATCTCTGGGACACAAAAGAGGAGTGTGGCACTCTGGCTTCTAGGCAGAGGTGGCATTTTGCTTTGGCTGTGACAACAGACAAACCGGCGCTGGCTTATATCACTGCCAGCAAGCCTTGTGCAACATGCCTTTTTCTCTTTGCTGAGAGACGTGCCACCTTTCAGGAAATTAAAAAAAAAATAGCACCCCCCCTTTCATTTTATATAGGCAGTTCCCACTCTTGGTTTTAAAATAATTWAAAAAAAAACAAAATAAATAAAAATACAAATAAAAAGGTAGCCTGCTATCAAGCATCTTGCTCTGCTTCTGGAAGGGTAGGGAGGTAGGGAAAGTATACAGCAAGGGATCAGTGCCTCACACGCAGATTCCCACCCCAGGAGAACAAGAAAACCCTGGAACATCCATGCTTTTCCTCCTGGATCTCACATCTAGCAAAAGAAGTGTAAAAAATGTATGATGCCCCATTGGCTGCACATTTAAAGAGGCAAAAGGGAGTAAGTCACTCCTTTCCAAACCTTATGCTCAGTAGATGAAATTGGAGGCACTTTTGGAATCAGCACAGAGCTAACTTGGTTTTTCCAGAAAGGCGCTTAAAGGCATTTGGAAGTCAGAGAAAGCAGGAGGCGCTGCCTTCTAGAACTTTAAAAATGTTAGCGGTAAAAGGGATCTTCCAGAGTACCCTTGGGAGAGGAGGCGAGGACAAGTGACTTGTCCAAGCACACACTGAGTGATGCCAGAAGCGGCAAGCTCTCCAGTGGACTGAAATAGCAGATCATCCATTCCTCTCCCTCCCCGCCATGCAGATACAGTCACATGCTGGTCCTGAGAGCTGGCACTGTGCATCTCCTCCCAAGTCCACATTTAGGGACACCACGCAGACAGTTAGAAACAGGCCACAGAGGAGGTTTTTATGCCACAGACATTGGCAAACGCCACAGACCAGGGCTTTCTCCCTCCTAGAAAGCCAATTGTTAAATATTTATCAGTGAATTACCGGGTGTCTGAGTTATTCTTGCTCTTCCTCATGGGGCTCCCAGTGCTTATTAATCAGGGTTGCTTTATTTGAGATCAATGCTAATGCAGCAGATTTGTTATGATTCTTCAAAAGATGAAATTCATAAAACATTTTAAGTTCTCCCCATTTTGTTTTTGTCTTTGGTTCGGATATGCCTTTTCTGGAGCTATCCTAACACCTGGGCACTAAATTTTTGATAAAATGTACTCTAAATGGGGAGGAAAAAGAATTGAGAGCCAGCAACATGCACTACTACGTATTTAAGTCGAATCACGACTTCTTGGTTGCCTTCCCTAAATTCAGGTATATTAATTCAAAACTTCCTAAGTAAGGTTATTTTAATCCTAAAAAAAAAAAAAGAAAAAAAAAGAAAAAGCAGTAGAGAATAAAATCTGCAGTAGCCTGAGCTTCTTTAAAATATGTCCCTGGGGGGATGAATCTGTGACTGTTTTCCCCTTGGAACCCAAAGAGATGTCCATCACATGTATGGTCCCTGGGTTTCAGGGCCCTAGAAAAGCTGGATCTTCTCCAGTAGCTGCAACTCCATCTGAAGGTTCTATTTAAAGGGAGCTGGGCTGGGTGCGGTGGTGCACACCTGTCATCCCAGTGGCTCAGGAGGCTGAGGCAGGAGGATCCCAAGTTCAAAGCCAGCTTCAGCAGCTTGGCAAGGCCCTAAGCAACTCAGTGGGACCCTGTCTCTAAATAAAATATAAAAAGGGCTGAGGATGTGGCTCAGATTTGTACCAGGTTCAAATCCCTGGTACAAAGTAAATAAATAAATAAAAATAAAAGGATCTGGAAGGCTGATCAAAATCCTTACCATTTAATTCTTTTCTACTCTTTACAGGTTGGTGGTTAAAAGCACAGGCCCTAACACATACCAGAGTTTGTGATCTAAAGCAAGTTACTTACAATCTCAGTGACTCAGTTTCCTGATGAAAATGGGAACGGAACAGTTTTTTTCTAGTCTTTTTCTGATGAGTAAATAAAGTAATGCTCATGCATCACGGTAACTGGCTGCCATAAATGTGAGCCCCCTACCACTGTCGTCACTATTACTCTCTCCTCCCCCACCTCAACTGACACCATCATCATTTCTCATTTATTTTTTTCTGTCTCTCAATCTAAGGGATTAAAAAAAAAAAACCCTAAGGGAGAAAGCAGACTGTTTCGATACCATGCATAAGACTTATCAAACACAGAGTAACTCTTAGCGATGCAATTCTGTTGGAAAATCATGCCGTGGTAGATCATCACCCAAACCTATCTTGGGTGCATACAGCATATTTTAAATGATACTGTTCTGGATTAAAGTCTTCGGCTAAAAGGATTCAAAGAATGAGCGACTTCTCAAACCCCATGGTGATAAGTACAGCTTCCGCCAGGGTTGGAGACTTATTATCTGGATAACCTCAAGCAAACTGCTTAACTCTCTGACCCTCAGTCTCCTCTTGGGGTTAATGCCATACCTACTTCATAGGATTAGTGTGAGCATTAAAAGAGATAATTTATGTAAAGTGCCCAGTACAGTGACTACCACATAATAAGCACTCAATAAAATTTAGCCATCACATGACTCTSAGAAACATAATATGGACTTTCAAGTTTGCAACAAAACATTTTTTTTCCCCTTGGTCTATTTCTAATAGAAGCTGAGGTCAGTGACAGGCAGATATACTAAGGTCACATATTCTGCCTGCAAACATACTGACTTCATATGGAGGAATCCTTACACATGACATGTCTCTTTGTAGCTTCAAGCTTCACTACCTCCAGGATTAGTTTGAGGCAGCGAAATGCAACTGTGCAAAAGCAGGATTGAATAGTGACTTTAATTACAATTTTGATATTTCATTCACCATGGATTCTTTTGCATTGA